ATTGATTGATTGATTTGTGGGGTTTAACGTCCCAAAACCACCATATGATTATGAGAGACGCCGTAGTGGAGGGCTCCGGAAATTTTGACCACCTGGGGTTCTTTAACGTGCACCCAAATCTGAGTACACGGGCCTACAACATTTCCGCCTCCATCGGAAATGCAGCCGCCACAGCCGGGATCATTAAAAGGTTCAACGAAATCACAGCATATCCTCAGAATGAGTCATGATGAGTGGGGCAAAGCGTCCGTCATTCCGTCACGGCTTCCCTCCGTGTATTCGTTCTTGCTTCTGTGCGTCTGCCCATCCGTCTATCCGTGCATCAAACACAGACTGATGACAGATGGACGCGGCCAGCGGATGATTCACGGTTTGCCAATGAAACCTCCCGAAGCTTCGCCCCACTCATCATCACTCCATGGAGATGCTGTCAGGTGGCTAATACATACGTGCATACATACAGGTGACGACTGACCCACACCTTAAGGAGCTTCGCCTCTAAATCTAGGAAAACGGCATATCCACGGACTGAAAAGATGAAGAGTGAGGCGAAGCATCCGTTCGTCCTTTCGTGCGTCCGACCATAATTCGATCTGTCTGTTCATGCGCATGTCCGTCTGTACGTCCGTCCGTCTAGTGAACACTCCGGGTACCACCATCTCGCTTCATTTCATCATATATTGCTTACATACAAGTACCGCCACCTAGCAGGCATTCCATGAACTAAACGAAAGGTGGCTACCTACTACATACATCGAGGACACACGACCAATGGCTTATGGAGCTTTTGCCCTCCCCTGTGGCACATACCCACTCTCTCGGGTAGGTGCCACCGGTGGTTACAAACGATAACGGCACGAACGCGTGACGCCATAAGAAGCTTTGCCCCTAAAAACCGTGGACTATCTCCCGGAAAGTAACCCTGATGGGATGCGAAGCAGCAGCGGTGTGCATGCCGTTGACCTGGCTGAATGGGCGTCGACGCGGGTGCTGGAAGAACGGTTTGAAGCGAAACTCGGTGTAGCGTTTACTGGAGTAAACCTTTGTTTAAAACGCAAAAACACGGGAGGCGGGGCGCGTTAAAAACGCTTGCGCTCAGTTGGCTTCCTTGGCTGGCGTCTCGTCGGTGTTACTCACGCATTGTCTGTATTCTCGAACGGGATCGGTGTTCTTGGCTCACGCCTCGGCGGTGTCGCTGGTCTTCCACTGTCGATGCTTGCGTTGGGTTTCGGTGGCATGCGCCTCGTCGGTGTTTCAGGCGCGACGTCCCCATTCGCGAATGCGATCGGCTCTGCCAACCCGCAACGCCGGCGACGGCCAAGAAAGGTACGCACACACTAGCGGGAAGCATATGCCCCGGCGGCGTCCCGCCTGTCGACGTGATCGCCCGGCAAGCAGCAACGCGCTTGCTGTCCACATTGTAGGCGCCGCGAGATTCTCGAGGCACGCGTGTACCAGCCGGCTGGTGGCTTTTTCTCCTTGACAGATGGAGAGAAGTGGCGTGGGTTAGATCAACGTTATTATATAAATCAACGTCACTTATAGATCAAGGGGATTTAGAATGAACGAGGCGGCTACGCCCAAGGAGGTTAAAAATTTATTGAAACTTCCTTGGCTGCGCTTCTGCTAGGCTGATTCTCCAGCGGGTGACAGCAGCGACGGCGCTGTAGTCACTTTCACTGTAAAGCCCCTAGAAAGTTTTCGGGGCTTTATTTTACTGAAGATGTCAAAAGCGTCTGCATTTTGAGCACGCGCGTCATAGCCTGCGAAAGCATGTAATTGCTCGCTTTAAGCACATTTAATGCTCTGTTGAGCCTTTATCGATGTATGCACACCTACGATGTGCCATGGTGAACGAGTGGACATGCAGGCGTGCCAAAATTGCGTTGAGAAATCCTCTGTTTAAGGAGCCTGCTAACCCACAAAAGAAAAAAAACATACAATCAGAATTTGCACGGACCCGCCTAGCTGCTCACGCAATTTGTGCAGTTTAAAAGCAGCACTTTAAGCCGCGCTACATACGAAGTAGCTCCTGGCAAACTACAAAGAGTGGAGAAGTACCAAAACCGGGATGAAAGCATACGCTCGTTTTGTTGGCACTCTCTACGATATCCTGATTCATTATCATGTCAGTTCACAAGTGTTCTATAGTTTCATGAGAAACCCGAGCAGAAGTAACTTTGCCACAACATTTATATTGGTGATGCCTCCGGAGTATCATAAAGCTTTCTGTATACAAAGCTTATCTTGTTTTAAGTGTGTGATTTCGCGCTTACATAAGCTCTGATTGCTTATATACCACAAGGCCAAGCCAGGGAGCCGAGCCGAAGGAGTGCATTTACCTCCGAACAAGAAAATTCAAGACCTCCCACCTTACGACATCAACGGGAGCAGAGCTCACAGCTCTTCGTGCCGCATTGCAATTTATCAGCGATCAACAGCCACAAAAATGGACAATTTTCAGTGACTCAAAGGCGGCGCTGCAATCCCTTCTATCCCCTTTACGCCACGGCCCGTACGAACAGCTGGTATTTGAGATTGCAGAAAAGACTCACCAATTCATTGAGGAAGGACATGAAATAGCCTTTCAATGGCTGCCAAGTCATTGTGGAATAATTGGCAATGAACGGGCCGATCGAGCTGCGCGTTCTGCCCATACTGAAAGCGATGAAATATCAATTCCGCTTTCCAGAACTGACGCTGCACGGAAACTCCGCATGCTTGCTCGCAAGCGCACCACGTCACAATGGAATGAGTCACATTTTTTCCATGCACGGTTAGGTACTTTAGACTCAACTCTCAGTCTTCGAATTCCTCCGGAATTACGCCGACGAGACGCTACTATGCTGTGCAGATTATGGTTGGGCGTCGCATTTACCAATGCGTACGCGTTCCGCATAGGAATGGCTGACACTGCTGCATGCAACCATTGTGGCAGTGATGAAACAACTTGGCACATTCTGTGTGAATGCCCAAAATACTGCTCGCAGAGACAGTCACTCTGCAATACACTAGATGAACTGGACAATCAGCCTCTTTCGGAAGAAAGACTCCTGCACTGCCGACAGGACTTTATGTCGCAGAAGAAGGCTGTGAAGGCGCTCATGCGCTTCTTGCGTTCAACCGGCCTGTCCAAACAACTGTGATCGGAACTTCCTGAATGTGTGCGCATGTGTTTTTTAAAATTTATTTTATATCTCTCTATAGCTATCCTCTTTCCGACCCTTTTCCCCACCCCCGTACAGGGTAGCAAACCAGTTCGTCTAGGTTAACCTCCCTGTCTCTTCCTTTTAATTATTTCTCTTTCTCTCTCTTTACCTCCAAGTCACGAACTCTATGCGAAAGCGGTTATTTTAGGGATATTATAAAGCGCAGTCGTATATATGGCACGTCTATTATTCTGCCTAAATTCATTATAACCAGTTCTCACTTACTATCAGCAGGTTATATTGTGCTGCTTTCTAAATCTTCTATTGGCACAATGCCATTGCAAGCCAGCAAACAATTGTTTATGACAATGTTTTGTATTATAAATGTAGTTTTTTATTAAGTATTTCAAGTCTAGGCAGATATATATAATATGCACGCTGTGTTGTTGACAACACTGCGTTGTCGATTGTCAGCATAGTAACTATGCATGTGCCATTGGTGTTTACGAAAGAAAAACTTGTTACCTACATCAAAACAGAAGCTACATTTCCCATGGCTCTTTATTGTTGGCAGAGAGCATCCATTCGCACTGTCATCCTTCACAGAGCCTCCTCCAAATTTCTATGTTAGGGCGAGAAGGGGCAATAATAGCATCACTAAGCTCTCGCATATTTACAGTTCACAGCCTCGCGAGTTTCAGGTAAGTGAAAAAAACAGCAACCTTCCAAACAGTATAGCTGGTTCAATTTCTGGGGCAACCATGTATGTTCCCACATTTGATTTCCCTTCAGATCAGATGCATTTCAGGGGTTTGCTGAAGCACGAACAATCTGTTTTTTTACAAGTAAATGTTAAAATCTCAAATAAAGTTAGAACAAGGAATACTGACCACGTGCGTTTGACGGGCTCTCGTCTTCCTAAAGTTCAACAATTCATAGAACAAAAAAATCGAACCGAGACAATGTTACAAGTATAAATTATCTTGCCTTTAGCATCTGAAGCTTTCATGCTTATAACATTCTTCCATGCATATTTTATTTCTGAAAAAGAAAGTTACTTTGTATAGAAACAGCTTCTTAAAGAGCCTCAAAACATTAGGCCCTGCCACAGGTAGCAAAGGATGCATGCTAGCCCTAAACACGATCCCGCCAATTTGTGTTGAGGGTTTACCGGCACAAAAATTTTAATATACATATATATTTTTTTTGGTTGCCATAAGTAGCAGATGACCCGCCTAGCACAGTTGGAAACCTCCCTTGCTGTAGTAGCAGACAGGTAATTATTTGGAGGCAAGGTTACACAGTAACCATGTTGGGGATGTTTTTGTAGCGACCAGCCACAGTTTCGGATTCAAAGAGCACTGAGAGAACCAAGGGCCCAGAGTGGTTTGCAAGTAAGCGTAGTTGGCTATGTGAGCACACAGGACTGCCTGAATGTGTAAGCACTGCGTTCACAGCTCTTTTCCATAAGGCTTCCTAGATGTTGCTATAATCCCCACTGGAATGTTATGAATATGCATGATTTCTCAAAAATGCCCTGCCGAAGCAAGGACATAGGCCTTTCCACTTGCAGGGCAGCCAACTTGCGACGCAGGTTGTTTACACCAAAATCAAGTAGGTAGGTGCCAGGCTGGGAGTTCTGCATACAGTTGTGCGAAACACGTTTTAAGATTGATTGTAATTATATTTTAGGCTATATTAGCCATTTGATAGATGATGCATGTGTCTAGACCAGCAGCGTAGCCGAAAATTTTGGGGGGAGGGGGGAGTCAACCATGTGTGTTCATGCATGCGTTTGTACATGTGCATGTACACAAACATATCCAAAGCTTTTCTCCCAAATAACACACATTTTTGAGTTCTTGCAGCAGCCAGTAGAACAACATGGGTGCTGCTGTGATAACTCCTTTCTTTATTCACATTATGACCATGAAATCAAACAATGATGAAGTCTAAATTAACGTTAGATCAACAACGTCCATTTTCAATGCTGGACATATAACAAAGCACTTGAAATTACACTATATATGAACAGGGTTGTATCATATCACTGTACACAGCTGCAGAGTTGGAACTCTTCTGACCTGCAGACTACAGGTGACACGTATAATTCACTATACTGAGTAGGCATTGGCTTTATGCTTGGGCAGGAAGCTGAATCCTTCAGGTAGAGGTCCCAAAAGCATTTCACTGCATGGAACAGAAGAATATTGCAAAATTAACTTGAGACAAATTTGAAACATAAAGCCAAAACAGGACATGAAGTATGAGGCATGTTCAAAAAGAAACTGAGCTTTTCAAAGAGCGTCCCAACTGGCTGAGAGAGCACACTGCAGCTATAAAGTGCATATGTTTAGACAACAAAATTTAATTTGCCACATTTTGCCATGACTGCTAATTCGCTATCTACAGCCACTAAACACAAGCACATTCTTCTAGTAAGATTAGTACGAAAGTGGCCTAGTACGAAATTGCACAGTGGAACAGGACACAAACTTTCTTTTTTTAATATGCGAAGCATCTTATGATTGAGTTCAATCTGGTGTGCAGCGTGACCACACTTACTGCACATGCGTGTCCCCTCCCCCTCTCTTTTCTCTCCCATGCCCCCCCCCCCCCCTCTCTCTCCTTGCAACGCCCACGCAGGCAGCGTCTGCTAGAGAGACTGCTCGTGCAGCACAACGGTTCACTGGCCACCCAGTATATATAGGCACTAGATCTTGACCTCGAAGGTAGTGCCAATGCGTTGTTGAACAATAAAAATTCGTAGCGTGCACATTATCAAAAGGGGATTGCGGGCCTCTCTGTCCAATCAGAGTCTACTGTCTCTGATTGGACAGAGAGGCTCAGCAATGACACACGTGTGTGTCATTGCTGAGCCTCTGATGACATATAGTGTTTATTGACACAAGGGCCATGTGATAGCCAAAGAGCGCCAGTGCACAAATAAAAGGATATGGGCAATGTTTATGGTGACTGGCTGTATAGGGGCCTGAAATTTCTCGCATTAAAGGTGGGTGAAACATATAGGTATTAAAATCGCGAGAGTGATATGAAATGTCTACCATGACAATGAGTGAGTAACGGTCTTAATGATGATGATGATATGTGGGGTTTAACATCCCAAAACCACAATTTGATTATGAGAGACGCCGTAGTGGAGGATGTTGCGAATGACGGACCGATCCCGCCGAAGCCACCACTGTTGCGAAAGACGGCGACGCCAACACGGTGCCGAAGGCGCCACTGCTTCCGACTCCGCCGGGAAGGTCACCAGCCGTTTGGTAGCGTATGTTTATCAGCTCGCGACTGCTTCTGCGCAGAGCTGATAAGACGAGCGGACGAGACGACGGTGAGTTAAACAAGGTTTATGTACAGCATATTTACAGAGGCGTTACAATTTCGGCACTGGGGCCGACAGAGACTCGAAGAGCCGAGCTCTTCTCTCTAACACATAGTTCAGCCTTTCGCCTAAGACCGCTGACTCACACACATGTCGGCACTCCGACACGGGGACTCCTCTCTCTAGGACTGCCGATCGCGACGCGCCGCAGGGCTTCTTTTATTTACACCGGGTCCAACCAAAATGTCCAATCAGAAGCGCCGCTGGTCGTCAGGGCAGATTCCGCCAATGGGGGCCGCCGCGCCATGCGTCAGACCACCAGACACACGGCCGCCGGCTCGCTGTCACGCGCGCAGCTGACTCAATGCACGTGAGCCAGAGGGGCGCCGCGCGTGTTCACGCCGTCGAGGTGATCGCGCCAGGCCGACTGCGGGCTGGCCTTGACCCAGATTGCCTTTTTCAGAGGCACGGTCGTTTGACGAGGACTCGCTGGCATAACAGCACCCCCGCCGCCAGACAATGCACCGGAAAGACGAGCTGCTTCCACGGGGCTCGGATGTCAGGTGCGCTCGTTCGCCAGGTCCCTCCAGGTTCGCCTCCAGGGCCATGGGGAGAATACAGCTCCAGACTGTTCCGGGAACACATCCCATTTTTGACGACGGATCCCAGCTCCACTGGCTTGTTCGCCACAACTTGCTGACCAGCTTCACTCGTCTCTTCTGACCATCTTCGGTTTCAGCACTTGTCGATGGTTCTGCAACTTGCCAAGAACGGATCGACAACAGACAACACACGACACACGCAAGTGCCTTCGGTCACCCGACAGAACACCAGACAAAGTATAGTACAACATATACCTATCTACGTGTCTATCGGAATTTTGTTCCCTCTACATCAAGAGGCACATGTGGGACACAAGACTCTTAAAATGACAACTCAATATTTTTTTTTCCCACGTACAACAACGTAACGAATTAGAATACCACAAAGTTGGCCCCTTGAGATCACTCTAAACGAGAGCGCTCAGCCCAGGTCGTGATGAGGTCAAAATTTTCGCCCCGAATCGCCAGCCAGAAACCGAAAGGTTGAGAAGTTACTAGCTGGAACGCACTGCTCAATGCACCTGCATTAGCGTTTACCTTTCCTTTATTTTTTTTTTTGATAGCGAACGTCAAAGTTGCGCTGTGGAGCAACATGCTCCACTTCAGTAACCGGCCACTTTTAGGCGACGATACCTATGCGGCACCGAGAGCGGCTCACACTTTCGACGTTGCACAGGGGAACAACGATACGGCTTGCTACGGATTGACTCCTCACCGCTTAGCTCGATATCGTGTTCGATCACCGTCGTGTCTCCGGGACGGTCCGACAACCCATACCCAAACTCGGAAACAATCTTTCTCAGGTCCTCTTTCTCAGGTCCTCCTTCACTTAAGCTAGGCTCTAGGTTTATCTGCTCCCGGATTACTTTCGATCCCCCTTCGATCACCTCACTAGAACTCAAATTTTCTGCTTCCTCTTCCTCTGAAGCCTTCAACAGCTGATTTACGACCGCTTGATGTTGGACATTGGGTTTCATCAAGTTGTAAATTTTGTTCTGGCCGCCTTCCTACTTGCACCTCATAAGTTGTATCGCAAGGCTTCGATAATACTTTGGCGGGCCCTTCCCAATCAACCTCAAGCTTGTTCCTTTTGGATGGCTGCAGCCGCATTACCTGATTATCAACTTCAAAAGCGCGTTTCTTCCCCGATTTCTCGTAGTGCTCCTTCGACAGCACTTTTGCCGCGTTTTTCTGGCTTTCCACTTGCGCTTCAATTTGGCTTTCCACTAGCGCTTCAATCGAGAGATCCTCACTCTGCTCTCGAATGAGCGTCTCTCGATCAACTCTCAGCAGCTCGCTCAAACTTTCCGCTACAGGCGAGAGCGTTGCAACCCCCTCGCTCTGACTCAATGGCGCCATGCCGTCTCCCCCAAGGCATACCGCGCCGGCCGCTTCCGCGACGGGCCGCTCGCGTGACTGCTCACATGACTCATGCGGAAAATTTTCTTTCTGGGGTTCCGTCGACCCGCCGACAAGGTCACTTGAGAGTTCACTGCATTGAACCAGATCAAGCTGCCGCGATAACTTCCGCGCTTGCGATCGCGTGAGGGCCATACACGCAAAGCCGGGGAAGAACGATTTGCCCTGCTCTTTGAGAAGCTGCTCCGAGTTGTTGGAGAAAAGATAAGGAAAACGATCGTTCAGCGCGGCAGACACAGCCGCTTCGGTGCGAAGCTCACCGAACGGGCCTTTAATGACAACCTTGGCGATTGGTAAGCGAACACTCTGCTCCTCGGCGACCTGCCTGATCCACGCGCATTCTCCTGTGAAGTCATCCGGAGACACCAATGAAGGATGGACAACGTCCATGGTTGCCGCTGAGTCTCTAAGTGCTCGGCACGTTTTCTTATTCACCCTAATTTCTTGGAGATACGGCTCCAACAACCGAATGTTTTTTTCTGATTCTCGGATCGTTGCGAAGGCAAACTTTTCCTGACAGTTTCTAGCGATGTGCCCTTCCTTTTTACAGTTGTAGCAGATTAGCGGCTTCCGTTTGTTTTCCGATTCGAATGTTTGTGTGGTAGAAACCTCACTCGATTTCTCCGCTTCTGTTTGCCCTTCCCCTACACTGTCCTTCGTAAGAGACGGGTCCTTTTTGAAATTACGGTGCGGAACGGGTTTCCGTTGATCAGGTTTCTTTGAAAAGCCCCCTTTTCTCTCATCCTTTTCAACGCGCACTGCCCTGCTGTGCAACTTTCGGCGAGTATAATACTCCTCAGCTAACTCTGCTGCCTTGTTTAGCTGTACTTCACCAAGTCTGTCCTGCAGCCAAAGCCTGACATTATCCTCGATGCAGCGGTAGAATTGCTCCAATGCAACGCATTCCACCACTTTATCGCGGTCGTCATAAACACCTTCGCCCTTGAGCCATTCAATTAAATCGGCTTTAAGACGAAACGCGAAGTCAACGTGTGACTCATTCCCCTTTTCAGCATACCGGAACCGTTGCCTGAAAGCCTCGGGTGACAATTTATAACGTCTCAAGAGCACTTCCTTAACCTCGTCATAGCTCTCAAACGCTTCCCTAGACAAGCAAGTTAATGCGTCGGACACTTCGCCGGGAAGAAGAGCTAACAGGTTCTGCGCCCAAAGAGACCGCTCCAAAGCGTTTCGCTCACAGACGTGTTCAAACTTGACGAGATACTTCGCCATGTCCTCGCCTACTACGAACGGTGGCAGTTGGTCCCGAATTCTAAAACCGCTGACCTGAATCGTCGGAGAAGCTGCGCTAGGCGCCTGCGAACACTGTAGGATTGCCAATTCTATTCGTTTCATCTCGAGACGCTCCTGTCTCTCGGCCTCCTCGCGACGTTCGCGCCTTTCAGCTTCTTCACGTTCGCGAGCTTCGCGCCTTTCAGCTTCTTCGCGAGCTTCGCGCCTTTCAGGTTCTTCCCGTTCGCGAGCTTCGCGCCTTTCAGCTTCTTCGCGAGCTTCGCGCCTTTCAGCTTCTTCGCGAGCTTCTACTTCTCGCCTTTCAGCCTCCTCACGGCGTGCTTTAATATCCCCCCAGGCCTCATCGACTTCCTCAGCCGACACTCCCTCATCCTTCATGATCTCAAGGATCGCTTGCTTTCGTTTCGCACGGCCCAAAGTAATGCCGAGTTCCTCACAAATTTCGATGAGTTCCTTCACTTTAAGGTTCTCCATCGTTCACACTAGCCTCTTGCTGTTTGCCCCTGTTAAGAATCTACTTGCCGTACCCACTATAAGCCTACTAGCAAGACGCGCAAGCAATTTTTCACACT